CAGACATTAGTTAGTGGTGCCCCCTATACTACACAGTAATAGTAGCTCCCCCTATAACAGACAGAAGTAGTGGTGCCCCCTATAACAGACATTAGTATTAGCACCCCTTATAACAGACAGTAATAGTGGCGCCCCCTATAACAGACAGAAGTAGTGGTGCCCCCTATAACAGACAGAAGTAGTGGTGCCCCCTATAACAGACAGTAGTATTAGCACCCCTTATAACAGACAGTGATAGTAGCGCCCCTGTAATAGATAGTTAAGTAGTGGGGCCCCTATAACAGACAGTAGTAGTGGCGCCCCCTTTAATAGACAGTAGTAGTAGCGTCCCCTATAATAGCATACTCTGAATGCTAGCTGTCCTTGCTGTATATAACATCTATCACACTAGCTAGCTAGCTAGCTAGGCCACACTGAAGGCTGTCAGCATTATTTAAAATGACACTTCCCCAACATTGCATGATCAAAATTCAAACTTTTAACCTAGATCTGCACTGTCGTTTCTGACATGTACAATGCACACGCAATGCGTGGCTAAATACACTTCCTGAAAAATCTCAACAACCGTTCCTGGCATTCAACATGAGATCTCAAGGGTCTATATAGCATTTAAGTCATATACAATTGTATGTACATTACAGATCACACTGAAAACATTTCATGAATCTTCTTTGTGAAGCAGAAAAGTGTGCTGATGAAAATCCATTAACCACTCAGAGGATGTATGAACGTACCAGTACACCACACAGCCATTATATAGAACATGTCAAACACGGTTAACTTGTAGTCAATTCTTAATGCTCACCTCATTTCGGACACACAATTTTTAACAAATATTGCAAGCATTGAGTTTACTCGAGGACAATTATTTACAGGTCTCAAAGTCTCAGTAATAATTAGATTGAGACTAAAACATTATCTACTGTCATCTACTTACCGTCTTTTATAAGATCATTTTCTGATGGCCATATACGTTAAGAGGCACAATTGACCTGTATCACTCACTCCTCAAACGGTCAAATTTTTCAACCAAACTAGATAGTTATTAGGAGCTTACTGCAGAGGCTAACTATCATTACACCTTTTAGATCTTAGTGTGAAGATTTTCATTTGTTTTGCTCCTGTGACCTTAAAAGTGAGTCAAGGTCATTTGTTTGAACATCCTTCACTTCTTGATATCCCAGCAAGCTACAGGCCAAATACCCTTATACTTGACATTATAAATTTTCAGAACAAGCTGTTTCAATATTTTTAAAAAGCTGACCAAAATGACCAAGAAAATAGGTCAAGGTTGTTCATTCAGATAAATTTACTAGTAAAGTTCATATTGGCATGAATAAAGTTTGTAGCTTTTAATCTTAGCAAGCTATGAGGTAAAGTATGAAGACAATGCATTATGAATTTAGGACAAAGTTGTTTAAAGAAAAAAAATGATGCCAGACAAAAAATGAATGAGGAACGCTGCACAATGACATTAGCTTACTACAGGCACATTGTGGCAGTTGAGCTTATAACAAATGAATGAATTTAACTACAAATGAAAACTATACAAACAAAAGTGATCATGTGTTTAAGGTGTTGATACTATATATAGGATTGATAAAAGTACAGGTGTAATGTAAAATTAAGGTCTGACGCTGACTTCACTAATGTCCAATTAGAATTTCAAAAAGATGTTTTTGAGACAATGAAAGTCTTCCATGTTGGAGAGTAGACAGGTGAGAGACTTACCTTGAGTTGGACGAACTGTCACTACTGGTCGACTCCCACAGTCCCTGACCTGGCAATATACAACACACATATAAATACTGCTGTATGTATAAATACACTCACACATAAGATATGAAATTCTAATTTAGATATCTCACGTTTAGCATCAATGGCTGATGACATTTGTCATATTTAATCCTCCAACACGAAACATAAAAACAAAGGGTCTGCATTGTCACTTGTCACAGTTAGTGTGGTGCAGTGGGATGTATAGGTGTCTTCACCTACATATACTACAGGTGTATTGTATGTCCACTGTTACCTATCTATACACCTCAACTGTAATCTATACACTTATACCTGTAATCTATACACTTATACCTGTAATCGGTACACTAATACCTGTGATCTATACACTTATACCTGTAATCTATACACTTATACATGTAATCGATTCACTAACACCTGTAATCTATACACTTATACCTGTAATCTATACACTTATGCCTTTAATCTATACACTAATACCTGTAATCTAGCTGATATCTATATACTTATACCTGTAATCTATACACTTATACATGTAATCGATTCACTAACACCTGTAATCTATACACTTATACCTGTAATCTATACCCTAATACCTGTAATCTATACACTTATACCAGTAATCTATACACTTATACCTGTAATCTATACACTAATACCTGTAATCTATACACTTATACCTTTAATCTATACACTAATACCTGTAATCTAGCTGTTATCTATATACTTATACCTGTAATCTATACACTTATACCTGTAATCTATACACTTATACATGTAATCTATACACTAATACCTGTAATCTATACACTTATACCTTTAATCTATACACTAATACCTGTAATATATAGACTTACTTCTGTTATCTGTACACTTACACCTGTAATCGGTACACTAATACCTGTAATCTATACACTTATACCTGTAATCTATACACTTATACCTGTAATCTATACACTTATACCTTTAATCTATACACTAATACCTGTAATCTATAGACTTATACCTGTATTCGGTATACTTATACCTGTAATCAATACACGTTTACCTGTAATCTATACACTTATACCTGTAATCTATAGCCTTACTTCTGTTATCTGTACACTTACATCTGTAATTTATCCATGTACACCTGTGATCTATCCACTTACACCTGTATTACATGGTGAGTTTAAGATTATAAATCAAATATAAAATTGATGACCAGGATCTTGTATATTAAACAGATACATATTTTAACTACTGTAAATATGGAAAATAACATGTGGGGGTAATTTAAGCTTATTGATCGTCCATAGATATTTCCCCAGCGTGACATCAGTATCGAAGTCCAGTATCATTCTAGCCTATCCTGATAGCGTGATTGTGTTCTTCACTTGATGCCCAGCAACTGTATGCATAGTTACATGGTATAGATTCTCAACTGTTTCCTTGTTATAATCCTGGAAGTTTCCAGGGAAAGCGCTTGACTCTAAGGCTAATTCCAGAGGCATATACATGCATTCCATTCTTTGAGAAAAGCTATTGAATATATGGTTATAGGGTAAGGATCAAAACCGTTTACATGTTATGATCAAGGGACTAAGTCCCCTGGGATGAAAACATATTCCCACCCTTGTGTTGGGATGGAACCCTGACTATTCCCACCTTTGAGTTGGGATGGAACCCTGACTATTCCCACCCTTGTGTTGGGATGGAACTCTGACTATTTCCACCCTTGAGTTGGGATGGAACCCTGACTATTCCCACCCTTGAGTTGGGATGGAACCCTGACTATTCCCACCCTTGTGTTGGGATGGAACCCTGACTATTCCCACCCTTGTGTTGGGATGGAACCCTGACCATTCCCACCCTTGTGTTGGGATGGAACCCTGACTATTCCCACCCTTGTGTTGGGATGGAACCCTGACCATTCCCACCCTTGAGTTGGGATTGAACCCTGACTATTCCCACCCTTGTGTTGGGATGGAACCCTGACTATTCCCGCCCTTGAGTTTGGATGGCACCCTGACCATTCCCACCCTTGTGTTGGGAGGGAACCCTGACTATTCCCACCCTTGTGTTGGGATGGAACCCTGACCATTCCCACCCTTGAGTTGGGATGGAACCCTGACTTTTTCCACCCTTGTGTTGGGATAGAACCCTGACTATTCCCACCCTTGTGTTGGGATGGAACCCTGACTATTCCCACCCTTGAGTTTGGATGGCACCCTGACCATTCCCACCCTTGTGTTGGGATGGAACCTGACTATTCCCACCCTTGTGTTGGGATGAAACCCTAACCATTCCCACCCTTGAGTTGGGATGGAACCCTGACTATTCCCACCCTTGAGTTGGGATGGAACCCTGACCATTCCCACCCTTGAGTTGGGATTGAACCCTGACTATTCCCACCCTTGTGTTGGGATGGAACCCTGACCATTCCCACCCTTGAGTTGGGATGGAACCCTGACTATTCCCACCCTTGAGTTGGGATGCATTCACTCCGCCTTCCTGGACTAGTAATGTTACACCACGACAAAAGCTCATCTGGCCCTCACATTGGCCGTTTATGTCAGGTGAACTAAAACTACTCACAGAGACTGCGTTTGATGATGGTTAACCCCAACAGAGATACCAATAAAGACAGCTACCAACAGAGCATACAGGGGAATCTGATCAAGGTTCACACTCTACGACAGGTGTAATTAAGTGATCTAGATAGGCTACCTGTACATGTGTTGATGATTTAATCAGTGATTTAGTTGTGTGCACCAGAATATTCTGAGCATTCAAGTCTACATCAATCACAGCTAAGTAATCTGATGTCTCTGTGTTCCAGGCCATCACTATAATGCTACAACAACTCATTTCAAAAATACATGTAGTTGCTAATGCTGGTCAATGTACCGATATCGACAATACCGACCAAAAGCACTCGCATCAGATTTCAAATCAATACTTACAGAAGATTTCAACAAATTGATAAATACATAACTTCAATATCTGCAAAAAAAGAATCCAAAGACAGAACCATTTTCTATTTATATGAAATAATCCAGTTTATTTACTTTAAGGAAAAACTTGAATTTTACAGTTAAATGCAAAATATGTTTTATTTCTGAGATCAAATATTTTTTGGGAGCTAATTTTGTTATGATTTTATAGACATTAAAATCGGTTCCCAGAGTTATAACATTTGTAAAGAAACCATTTTAAAGTTGAATAACCCTGTCACAGTGAGATACCAAAACTGACAATTGCTACTATTTATGACCTAATTTGATTCGCCTGTAATGTTTAGGTCTAACATTAGAGATCCCATAGGAATCGGTTAGTGCTCGTTTTTTTTTTACCCTTCTCCAATTGGAGCAAAACACAACTAGGAACCAAGGGTGCAATGCATACAAAGTTTCATAACTAAAGATCCATTAAATTGTTACTGAGAAGCAGTTAAAGTTCACATCCAAAATCCAATAAAGCTTCATCGTGTGGCCATTTTGCTTTTAAAAGATGAATCTCAAATCGAAGCATGTACAACCCTGGACCAAGGAGATCATTCATAACAACTTTAATCAAGATCCCTTCTATAGAGAAAGAGTGGCAATAATATTCACATGCAAAATTCAAGATGGCTGCTTTATGTGGCCATTTTGCTTTTTCCATCCATCTAAAATTGTAGGAAGCACAACAACAGACCAAAGAGATCATCATGTATAAAAAGTGATGCGATACTTTAAGGAGTCTATGAAAAACAGCAGTAACAAAATTCACAAACAAAATCAGGCTGCCTTGCTATCATTTTTGCTTTCAGATTGCCATCTCTAACTGGAGCATGCATGACTAACGACCAGGGCATCCCACTTACCAAGTGTCATAAAACATGTAGGCCCTGAGAAATAATGGTAACAAAAAATGTTTATCAATAGATATCTGAGCGTTGGACATCAGACCATGGACAAAAAAATGGTGTGAATAGCTCTCCATGTCCACCACCTGATGATGGTGGGGTATTGAAAATATCAGCCCTGTATAATTTACTGAAAATATCAGCCCTGTATAATTTACCTGAAAATATCAGCCCTGTATAATTCACTGAAAATATCAGCCCTGTATAATTTACTGAAAATATCAGCCCTGTATAATTTACTAAATAGTAACAACTCAAATGCATGATTTCCATTTGAAGAACAAAATTTCCAGCAATCACATACTGATTAAAGTCAGCATGGTTGAAACAGAAACTCTGGAACATTTGGTTTGGTTTGTTTGTGTTTAACGTCCTATCAACAGCTATGGTCCCTTAAGGACGTGCCAGGTTTGGTTTGTTTGTGTTTAACATCCTATCAACAGCTATGGTCACTTAAGGACGTGCCAGGTTTGGTTTGTTTGTGTTTAACGTCCTATCAACAGCTATGGGCATTCAAGGACGTGCCAGGATTGGTTTGTTTATTTTTGACGTCCTATTAACAGATATGGTCATTCAAGGACATGCCAGGTTTGATTTGTTTGTTTTTGACGTCCTATTAACAGCTATGGTCATTCAAGGACGTGCCAGGTTTTGTTTGTTTGTGTTTAACGTCCTATCAACAGCTATGGGCATTCAAGGACGTGCCAGGATTGGTTTGTTTATTTTTGACGTCCTATTAACAGCTATGGTCATTCAAGGACGTGCCAGGTTTGGGTTGTTTGTGTTTAACGTCCTATCAACAGCTATGGTCACTTAAGGACGTGCCAGGTTTGGTTTGTTTGTGTTTAACGTCCTATCAACAGCTATGGGCATTCAAGGACGTGCCAGGATTGGTTTGTTTATTTTTGACGTCCTATTAACAGATATGGTCATTCAAGGACATGCCAGGTTTGATTTGTTTGTTTTTGACGTCCTATTAACAGCTATGGTCATTCAAGGACATGCCAGGTTTGATTTGTTTGTTTTTGACGTCCTATTAACAGCTATGGTCATTCAAGGACATGCCAGGTTTGGTTTGTTTGTGTTTAACCTCCTATCAACAGCTATGGTCATTCAAGGACGTGCCAGGTTTG